AAATGAATAAAAATGAATAAAAATGAATAAAAATGAATAAAAATGAATAAAAATTAATAAAAATTAATAAAAATTAATAAAAATTAATAAAAATTAATAAAAATTAATAAAAATTAATAAAAATTAATAAAAATTAATAAAAATTAATAAAAATTAATAAAAATTAATAAAAATTAATAAAAATGAATACAAATGAATAAAAATTAAAAAAAAAATGAATAAATATAAAAAAATGAATGAAAATCACTAAAATTAATAAAAATAAAAATGAATAAAAATGAATAAAAATGAATAAAAATGAATAAAAATGAATAAAAATGAATAAAAATGAATAAAAATGAATAAAAATGAATAAAAATGAATAAAATGAATAAAAATGAATAAAAATGAACAAAAATGAATAAAAATGAATAAAAATGAATAAAAATGAATTAAAATGAATTAAAATGAATAAAAATGAATAAAAATTAAAAAAAAAATGAATAAATATAAAAAAATGAATGAAAATCAATAAAATTAATAAAAAGAGGAAGTCATGTATTTTGTTATATTAATAACACGACTATATGCGAGCAAAGTCGCGAGCAAAGCCGCGGGCAATAGCTAGTAGAATATATATAATGCAAGAGAAACTTTTATTGTCACCAATAAAGCAATTAGATTCTAATGCATTGTTAAAAAATAATCGTTACTTCCTTATTTTTATTTTAGCCATTTAGCATATCCAAATCTCTATTTCTATTAGATAATATAATTTCTTCTATTAAGATATATTTATAGACAAATCACATTTAAACAAGATTACACTTACTTTTTAGGGTTCCGTACCCGAAGGGTAACCAACGGGACCATATTACTAAGCCTCGGCTGTCGGTCCGTCTGTTTGTCAGCGGGATGTATCTCAATATCTATAATGGATAGCCAGTCGAAATTTTCACAGAATGTGTATTTCTGTTGCCGCTATGACAACAAAAGCAAAAATACATTAAAAATTAAAGGGAGCTCCCTACTTGGAACATTTTTTTTTTGGCTTTTTTTGCCCGATCTTAATAAAGTATATAATAAAAAAGTACCTATATAGTATTAAATCTTGTACGATGGTGCGGAACCCTTCATGCTCGAGTCCAACTCGCACTTGGCCGGTTTTTAAGGTGGGTTCAGACGCAACCAGTAGTTTAGTCAAGTGGTTGAGTAATTTAGTGACTCGACCCATTTGAACACATTTTGTTTTAGTCGAGCTCACTGGCAGTCAAGTACACGGTCGAGTTTAGTAAATAGAACTCTATTCTATTTTCTTGGTCGAGTAGCAGCCCCCACCACACAGAAAAGTCGATTAGCGCGCCGATTAGACACGCTAAGACACGTCTAGACAGACCGGGCAAGTAGTGTATAGTGGCTTCTAGTTTAGTTGAAGATTTTGTTTGTAGTGAATATTTTAATTCATACAATTAAATATGCCAAAATGGGGGGAAGATACTACTACTTTAAAATTCGTTGAAAAATATGTTAAACATGAGTGCCTGAGGGATGTTCGAAACGAACTGTACAAAAATAAACAAAAAAGGCAAGCAGCATACTTAAAAATACAAGAAGCGATTGCAATAGAAGGTTTAGGCCAAAAATAAATTTACTAAATTTCATTTAGTAAAATATTAAATGATTCCTTTGATATTCTGAGGGCAAGAAAATATTCTTTTGGGTCTTATAAGGCAAGTTCTTTTAAAAGACAGATGCTTCAAGGTCATATCTCCTAAGAATCCAATTTTTTAACCATACTCGTTTAGGCTTGTGCATTATCTCTAAACATATTTCTTTTGTTTCATGAATCACAAGTTTTAAAATTGAACGAAGAGGAACTTTTTTTTTCATTTGCACTTTTTGATTCATAGCACTATTTTCAATAGAAAATACACAATGTTTACTTATTTCGAGGTAAATTTTCAGCCCTAATACGTCGACTAAAACACTGGCTTTGTGTAGACGCTTTTTTTACTCGACTTACTAATTTACTTGACTCGTGTAAACAGAAGACACACTTGACTAAATAACTTTACTAAACTACTGGCTGCGTCTAAACCCGCCTTTAAGTTTTAAATGAAAGTAAGATCACTTCACAAAATTTTTTTACATTCAGGTTCAATAGTAAATATATCTACTAAATTTAGCGTTATCATTTATCACACTAAAGCATTAAAATAAGCTTTATCATTAGAAAATCGATGTAGTTTAAACCTAAATATCCTCCTAAGTTACATACTACATACATAGAGGGAGTTATACAGAGTAGATCCATTGAACACAGATTATAGTACGAGTATAATTGAACAAATACCTAGAGCGTTGGAATATGCTACCCAGAGTTTTACTCGGAATGTACTGTACAAATGTTGGTCATTTTAAAATGATTTATATTTGCCCTTTATACAGGGTGTCCGGAAATTGCATGTACACGGAGCTACCACGGATTTATGGGCAAAAAAATTTATTGATATAACCAAACTTACCTATATACCTACTTGCTTCGTTTGGCTGCTAGAGGTCAACAAAGTTAAAATTATCCGTTCTTTCTTTAAATTAAAAAATCAAACTTGGTACGAATAATAGATGTTTTATGGCCAATATCCTTTACCACGAATCAAATATATACAATGAACAAGTTGATGTGATTTTTGTAAAGGAAATGGTCTCGAAAGTGTTCGAGTTTATAGGGACAGATTTCCTAATCGTAAAGTCTTAAATCTCCAAACATTTGTCAATATTGAAATGCGATTTCGTGAAAATGATGTATTTGAATCAAGGAATATAAATCGAGGGAGAACGCATACGACAAGAACTGTATAAGTTGAGGTACTAATATTAAATTCGGTTGAACACGATCCGACAGTACTGGACGTGTAGAACACGACATGGCAGTTCCCAAAAGTATTGTTCATGAAGTTTTAAAAGAAAAATTAATGTATCCTTACCATATTGGGCAGTTGTAAGAACTTTTACCCGTTGTTCTTGCAATGAGTGTAGTGTTTTGTAATTTTATTTAAAATAAGAAAGTCCAAAATAAAAACTTCCATAAACAAATTCTATTTACTAACAAAGCTTATTTTGCAAGACATGGCGTAACTAATTTACATAACAAACACGTTTATGCTGACGAAAATTTTAGAACAATGAAAATAACCCCTTTTCAGCATAAGTTCAAAATTAAAATCTGGACTGAAATTATTGGAGCTGTTGTAATACCAAATTGTTTAAATGGGGAAAAGATTAAGATTTCTTTCCATAAACATTACTTGCCATACTTGAAGGTGTGCCACTAAGAATTCGTCACAGCATGTGGTTTATGGACGATGGTGCACCACCACATTTTACAGCAACTGTTAGACAACATTATTTAACAAATGTATTTTCTGAACGATGGATAGCAAAAGGAAATTATGCTCCTATACGATAGCCTTGAAGATCCCGGACTTGACACCCTGTGACTTTTTTCTTTGGGATGATGCTATAGAATCTCTAGTTCATTCAACTCCAGTTAATAATATGCAAAGATTCCATTTTGACTTTTTATGGAGAATAATCTTGTTTGTGTATTCAAGAAAATGGTGTTCATTTTAAATATTTATTATGGTTTATGGCACTTTATTTAAATGCTAATTAAAGAACCTACCGTGCACCAAGGTTACTTTGGTAACAAATTCACTTATGCAGTAATTCACCTAAATTATTTTGATTTTCAAGCCTACTGGTATAACCACGAAAGACTGATTGGACTAAATGTGGTTATACTGGTAGTCTAGAAAATAAAAATGATAGAGGTAGACAACTCCAGAAGTGAAGTTGTGTGTTCAAAGTAATCGGCCTATATCAGAGTAACCCCAATCCAGTACACGGTACTACTGTTTTTAAATTGTTTCACTATTCACTGAATGAATTAATGTGTAAAATTAATTTGTATCATGACAGGTTCAAATCCATTTTTTATCTCATCATGGCGACATCGAACAGTAGTAACTTTTGAGTTTCCTATTTTAATGCCAGAAATGTCAAAAAGTGGCTTTAATAAATGTTGTGCCTGTCCTTAATTGCGGATGTTTAAGGACATAAATTAGTGGCGACGATAGTTTTCGGGTGCGCTCGCAAGTTTTTTAATATTAAATATTATCGTCATCTAAACCTTCTAAAATGGTAGTTTCTAATGCCTCTTCCATATTATGTACTATTATAAACAACAAAAAGGACGAACTGTAATTTAAAATTTTTAAAATGAGGTTAGAAATATATAAGGACAAGGATTCTAATGTCAAAATTTCAGGTTTGCAATAAGTCTTATTTTAGCATAGAATTTATTTGCCTTTAATTACGTTGTCACTATTAGTGGCTGACGTTATAAAAATTTGCAATATCTCTCTATTATCGCAATAGAAAATTGTTCTTGCTGCTTTTTATTGGCCATAAAACACAAAACACTTAGTATTTGTAGAGTTTGATCTTTTAAAATTTCTGGGTTAAAGAATAAAAACCAGAAACTTTGTTTACCTCTAGCAGCCAAACGAAGCAAGTTGGTATATAGGTAAGTTTAGTTTAATCAACTTATTTTGAACCTATAAATCTGTGGAAGTTCTATGTACACGCAATTTCCACACACACTCCGTATATTTATTTTTTTAAAAACGATATCGTTGCTTTGTTTTTTTCATTCAAAACAAAAATCAGTATTAGGTAGTCTAAAATGATAAAATACTTTGTCGTATTTGTTTTTTTCTAAATATTATTTGAATTGATAAAGTTTTCTAACACCAAGTTGGTTAAACATAATTTAGAAGTAATAAAAACTTTAATCGATTATTGTAAAATTTTATTAATTATATTTATTTAAACACCGACAGTTCCATTTCATTTAAATACATCATTAGTATTGTTTGTAAGTATAAATCGACTTTTAGATTGTGATGTATTTTTTCCAGACAACAGATATTAAAAGTAGAATTTTTATAATCTTCCAGGAAGAAGAAATTGTGAAACCCAAGCAAGCGAAGAAGCGGAAAAAAGTGATGTCGGACAGCGATTGACGGAAACAACATGTCTTCGTGCATATTGCTATTTCTCTCCTTGAAGATGAACCTTCCCGGTGTGGACGGGGTTCGTTCCTAGACGACATTATCGCTGATATGAAGAAAACACTGCCCATGCCTCCATCAAAACAAAAGGCAATAATATGTCTTGAAGAAAGAAACACGGTTACGTACCTTCGAAGTTGTTGAAACACTTTCGTTACCTAAATTCCCTGCATTAACTCTTTCAGTCAGTTTTTAAAATTAAAACTCTAAAATAATTAAATCGGCAAATCTTTTATATAGTTGTTTTTAATATTACTCCAATAAAAATACCAAAATAACGTTGAACGAATTGATTACAAACTAATTTTTGCTGGAAGGCTTTAATAAAGCAAATAGTTTAGTTTTGCATCTTGCGAGCAACATTAAAATTACTCTTATAGGTATGTTTTTAGTTGATTTAGTTGAAAAACTATTTTACATTAACTGTTAAAAAAGTAAACTGATTATTTCGAAATGAAAGTTAAAAATAAATGTAAAGGTTTGAAGTAGATTTGTTATTGGTGACAATTTTTTTTACAAAATGTACAATTAGAAATTAACTGGGTTAATAAGAGGTTTTTTAAGACCAATACTCTACTAAAAAATTATCTTATAGTGAATTTATGTACAAGATATAGCTAATTTTATTGGAGTAGTGTTCACTAACTAATTTGTTAATAATTCTTGTATCTTTTCATCAGCTGTTGTTAAGTATTGTTATGTTTTAGTTTCTTACTCTGAATTACAACTTTAAATTTGACGTTGGTAAACCCGACCAAACTTACAAAAAATGGTTTATAATCGATAGTTATATATATTTGTATTTTTTAGAACTAAAAAGAAATAAGAATAGGTTTGTGTTTTTTTTTCTTTACGAAATTTTAATGAAGAGTGGGCATTTAAATTTATTCACTGATTTGTTTTGGATTAATTTATGTTACAATGATTTTTTTTAATGGTTTGGAGAGCAAGTTCAAAATCGGATCTATAAAATATAATTTTTAGAAATAAAATTTCAGTGAAAGTTATGCAGTTGGTATAGGTAAAAATCTAATTTGCACACTTTACTTTTTAAAAAAAGAAATTTTCAATTTAAAACAGTTTTTAATAGATTGTAAATAAAATATATCGGGGTTACAAAATCAGAATATAATTGTTCATCAAAGAAACATTTTTCATATTAAAGGCGTGATGTTTTACTGTAAATTATTAGTCAATAATAAATCTAACTTTAATAGTTTGGAACAAAAATAATTTTTTTCTTCCATGCGTATCCACTAATGAACGTTTGCGCTTCTTCACGATTTTTTGTATTATTAGTTCTCGACCTTTATTAATTCTTTTCAAAATATCTTCATTCGATATTCCTAAAGTGTATGGTATCTTCAGCTATCTCTAGTAAATCTACATTTCAAAGGCCTCCAATCTATTCATTGTGTAATCATTATATAGATCCATCCACCATATTACGAACATGATGACCAATTACCCTTGTCCACAACTGTCATTGCAAAACTTTTGCTTTTGACATTTTTGGTATAAATGTGTAATAATGAATAATTTCTATATAAATGTGAAGAAAGAACAACAAAAATAACATATATCGAAAATAGTTTGTTTCAACAACGCAATTGTAAAACTAGAATTTGTTTGCTTATTAACTAAATTTACAAAAATCGTGATGTGTATGTAACTTCACAAATGAGGCTGTCTTCATGAATGAAAAAAAAAAACGAAAGATGTTTTTTTTTAGTTTGTGTGTTCCACCCTTCAGACCTTAATCCGTTTGTAGAATCGCGGTACTGCAGCCTTCGGCCTATTGCGCCGCCACTTATTCCACGTCTTAGATGGTTAAATGCTAGTCCGTTAATCCCATGATGGAACGTCCTAGCCATCAACCATCCACGATAAGACTTGAGGCTGTTGCGAGTACGTGGATGGAAACTAATCTCGCGGCTAGCCCTCCGGTTTTGGCTCAAGGACCATCATTAGGCCTAAAAAGAAATATGTGCAAATAATAGATATATTACATAGATATTTAGACACCTTAACCAAAGGAACTTACTTGTTGAAGTGCCTTTAGTTAAGAGTTGAAAACATTCAATATCTATGTTATATCGTCGTCAATATCTCGAAGTGACGTAACTCGATTTTCACAACTTTACAAGACAGCGTTTTAAAGTTTTTTTATTAAGTTACGTCTCTTCGTAAAATTGTTAGATGCAAACGGTTAGATACGTGCTATTTTAATAAATGTAATGAGTTAGGATATGCAATTTCGTGATATTGACGACGATATATCTATTATATTTGTTCCTATTTTCTTTTAAGCTTGATGGTGAGTCTTGGGCCGAAACGGGTAACCTTTTAATATATAATTAATCATTTTTATATGTTTTTTCTACACCCACATGAATTATTTAGTCTGTTCTAAAAAGACTACTGAAAGAATAAGTAGGCCATACCAGTCTACTCGATGAATATAATTCCATATCCATTCTAATAAGGACACTAGATGGATATGAAATCCACCAATCACATTTCAAATTAAATTACCAGTCTACTATTATTTTTAAAACTAGTGACAATTCTATCAAACTAATTGTCAGTATATTTTGTTTAGTTATTGAGATTAAATACAATTAAAAATGTGTAATTTTTATGAAGAATCAATAAATAATGGCAACTCACTAGATATACGTCTATATTTACAAAGAAACTGTAAATTTTAATAAAACTAGAAGCAATAATTATGAATTTTAAGCCATAAAAATGTAAAAGTTAAAAGTTGGTAGCTTAACAGTTTAAGTGAATCGTTCCCATTCCAAGGAGCAAGTCCCGGCGAAGGGCAATATATATATTTTTTAATTTGAATACTAAAATTTATAATTTTAAAATTTTGTGTTAATTAACTTTAAAATAATTACTTTATCTTAATAACCTCTAAATTAATTCTTAAAATTTTCGTTAGTGAGTCGTAGAAAACATAATTTCGCCTGAGTGCGATGTAGACAATCCTCTCGAGTTGTACAGTATATTTTTTCTACGACCCACTAACAAAAATTTTCAAATAAAAAAAATATTTTAGGTTATTAAGACAAAACAACTAATTTTAAAATAATGTATGACTTTTAATAATTTTTAAAATAAAATAAACAAAAAAACAAAAAAAAAGTTCAATTCATTTTTCCCCATCCGAGAATCGAACTCAAGTCTCCCGTGTGGAAGGCTAGAATGCTGACGACATGATCACCTATTATTTTATTTTTGTTGCTTTAATACTCGTAATTAAATTGACTTAATATAGTTTTAGTTAAATTAAACAAATTATAATTATAGACGAAATTAAAACAGAAATGCTATTTTTTATCGATACTACACAAGAATAACCCATTTTAGTTTGACAGAATTGTCATTTATTTAAAATTTTAAAAATAATAACAGTCTGTTGATCAAAATATGAACGGTGATTGGTGGATTTAATTTTTTGCAGTGTTCTCACTACCTAGAATTGTTATGAAATATATTCGTTTAGTTGAAGGCAATAGCATACTTTTTCGTTTTGTAATCTGTGCGTAGATAAGCTAATATCCATGTGGGTGTCGAAAAACTACTATTGTGTATTATTTTTCCATTTATTTTAAATTTACAAACACTACTAAGTGTACAAATAGCCTAGTAGAAAACCGCGCTGCCCTGTCGGCCTACAAGCGAAAGTGACAGTTGCGGACAAGCGTAAATTGGTCATCATGTTTACCATTTAGGGTAGATGGATCTGTATCATCGACATAAAATGAAGTAGAGACGACATAAACACTATTTTGCGATATGTCATACGGAAGCACTTAGCGGTACCAAGAGTGATGGAAAAGTGTAATCAAGATTTGTTTAAGTCAATAATTTTATATTTGAAGATTGACGGAATGGTATTTATTCTCGCCAAAACTGACTAGCTTCGCTCACGGTTCATAGACAGTACTGTAGTCTCGTCCAGTCGCTATGGACGGCGTTGTGACGCCATAATATTTAGTGATGTTTATATTTTTATTTTGGGACTATTTTTCAGTATTAGCAAAGAGTACAAAATATAACTATAAAAGAGAAGTCACTCGCGGCATTTACAAAGGAAATCGCGCTTCAAATGCGGGCCGACAAGTCGGCGTTTTTTCAAAGAGTACAGAGCTAATTAGGCTATACCGGGGTTAAGCGGTAAGACGCGGCGGCGATGATAGTGGAATGTAACGGACAATACACAGCGGAATCTAACGTAGCGGAGCAAACGAGCCTTACGCGTTGAACTACACCGGTATACTGCCGATCGAGAAAGGACTGTGGAGGACTGGCGGCTGATCGCGTTAGAAGTCGGTAATTGGCCGAATGACTCCTCTTTTATAGTTATATTTTGTACTCTTTGGTATTAGAGTTTTTATAATATCGGTAGTTTGATTTTTTGTAAGACAAGCTACAAAACAGCAAGGAAAAATGATGTAATGATTTTCATAAAATTTCCAATTAATTACTTTTTATTTGAATTATAAAGAGAAATATTATTGTGTGAATAGTTTATTTTAAACATTATTTTGGAATAGGGTACGGCCTCCAAGCCAAACTCAGACCGCATTTTCTTTTTACAAACAAAAATCATCAGAAGAAAGGATATAATTTTTCCCTTTCCCCAAAAGCGACCATTTACAGAAAATATGGATGCGATGTTTTAGAAAATATTAGATCAATGTTAAAACTGCAGTGTTCATTTTAAGGAGCATTTTATAAATGACATTAGAACGCGAATTATACAGTGAGCATCATAAATCGTTACTGTAGTCTTGTTAGGAAAAACGCCGAGTCACGTCGATTTTTGATTTCTACAATGTACATTTTTGTATGAATAGTTTACCCTTAATTTCATCCCTAACGGGAGGGGAGCAACCCTTTCGAAAAATTTAAATGGCATGAGGTGGTGAGTGATAGCT